ACAGACGACGTGAAGAGCGCCGGCGGTGGTCACATTCCACTTGAGCTTCAAGAGTTTCTTCAATGCGTCCATACCTTAGGCCGTCCCACGCCTCCCAAACATCCTGTGGACAGGTCCACTTTAATGAGATGTGCGCCCCCTAAGGACTTCTCTTCTTCCCAATTTGATTTACCCAAATTGTTGGAGTTCGGTGTGAAAGATCGAAAGGCAGCCACCGCTCGGAGATTCTGGAAGGGAGGGGAAATTGAGGGTTTGAGAAGATTGGACATTTCTTTGAAGAGAGTACGTATCATATTGATAATTTAGAATATCTGTGACAACATATTGGTTGTTTTACTGATAATCGAAATTTGGGGTTTGAGATGTGACGGAAAAAGGTTTCTTGAGTTACATTAGCTAAATACAAGAAAGATTTATCTAGACGCAAGTGTGGTTATTCGATTGCATTCGAATAACCACAACATGAAATGTTGAGTGTCCTCTTATTAACTGTTGGCATTCTAGTGTGTGTACTTTAATGTAATATTGGTGATCTTGGTTGCAATTCTACGAGAGATGAATCTGTTATGTTTAAGTGCTATTTCTGCAGGTTGGAAGTCGTTTTTGAAAAAAACCTCTTTAGATCGAAACTTGATGTTGTTGATTTTAATGAGTTTTGGCGAGACAACATTATTAGTTGCATTACCAGTTGTATAAACGATAAATAAAACATATGTTTGATTGCAGGTTGTAGAGAGAAACTTCAAGAAAGACAATATTACTATTGAAGATATGCTCCCTTCAGAGACCCACCTAAGCCCTTACTTAAGATACGGATGTTTATCTGCACGGATGCTTTACCATCGTCTTGCAGCCTCTTATGTTTCGGTGAGAATGTTTCCTAAAAAWCTATGTTCTCTTTACTTTAATTTCCTGATTTTCCTTGAAAATATTGGGGGAATACCAGGGAAATCAACCTTTCAGCAATGGCATTTCCGATAAGGATCTCTCGTACGACTTCCAAGTATAATGTTGCTCATGTACACGGCGCTGATATATGTGCATATAGAAGGGTTTCTATCATAATTTTGTCAAGAACTTAAACTGAAAATAATTTTTTAACGACAAGCATAACGAGTCAAACCAGCGCTATGTATTTTAAGCCATGAGGTGAATTAGCTGGGGTGCTGAGGTGAAACTGAATTTTTTATATATATTTATGCAACGGCATGCATGAACAATCACGTGTTGTGTACATRAGATTGAATATAAAATTGATAAACAAAAGAGCCGTCTATATATGTACATCAGGGCCATACATATGAACATCCATATATAGAAGTCGTAAGGCAGACTCTACTCGCATTTCCTGGCTCTTAGAGGCAAAAAAGCGACTTAATAATGTCTTTTTATCTAGGCAATTGCCCCCTTCCTGATGATTGTACTTTAAATACAGTGTTTTATCCCCCAACCGCCTCAGTTGCAACACATGAATATCTTCTAGATCATCTTTGTTATCGTTTATTATTATTATTATATTCTTATTTTTTTTGTCTGTTTGTTTGTTTGTTTTGTTGTTTTTCTTATTTTGGTGTTTGATACTACTGCGTACATCAAAAACGTGGACCCAAAAGAAAATAATATTGATAACAGAAGGAAAAGTGGAATTCTAATTATGTTCAGTATATTAATTATTGATGAGATTAGAAAGCTTGCATTGGTTAATTTTTCAACTTGATTATGAATTTCAATGAGCTCATTATGAATTTATTTGCTATTATTATTCATTTATATTTAGTTTAGTCAACCTAATCTAGAATATTGTTTTATTATGTAACAAGGTAAAGCAAGAAGATCCTCCAAACTCGTTGTTTCTGAACTTGCTGAAACGCGAACACTTTCTKCAAATTGCAAGCGAAAACGCCGGCATCCATAGAATGACTGGCAATGAATTGAGTCTACAGCTTCCTTGGGAAGATCACAACTATTCTTTATTCAGATGGAAGCAGGTAGGTTTTTATGTATTTTTTAGAAAATATATAAATAATATCAATCCTGTAAAATAGAATCGAAACTATGATGGTTGGGATACCAGCAATAAGGGACGAGCGAGCATGAGGACTACTGAGCTTTAGAGCCGATGCCATCGCTTAATTAATAATTGCTAATTCAGTCTAGTATAAGACTTTTTTCTGCTGGTTTAATGAGAAGCATAAAAGTCTCTTTTATCTCGTTAAGATCGCTATGCTTCTTGTGTAAAAGTTTTCAAGCACTGTCACTTTGCTTATACTTAAGTGATATATTTTAAGAATTGCCTGCTCGTTATCTACACACTCACCTTTCCTGAACTGATTTCGCTCCAAAAAATATACTTTACCAAAAGACTTTGTATCTAAATCCTGTTCATCTCAATAAGCTGTTGTTAGGCTCATGATATCTTGTAAAAGTTGCAAAGAGAAAAGAACCAAACACATCAAAACATTCTCCATTGATGCCATTTTAATTTTCGAAGCTTACACTGACTGCTGGGAAGCAGACAGGGAGCCCAAGCATTGATTCATTGGGATTCTCATTTGACTTTTACTTGGACTTCCTTGGTATAAGATTCAAAGAAATTTTTTTCCCTTTTTTGATTTTTGTTTTGTTTCTTTTTGAAAAATTGCAATTCGAATTAAACTCACTTACGTCTTTTGAAGGCGTGTTAGTTGCTAGTTGCTGTTTTTTTGTGTTTTATTTATTTATTTTTTTTTTTATTTAGCTTTGTCCCAAGTATGGGCATGGACACCTCTACATTAAGTATTTTAGCACACAACACTCCTCACATGTTGATTTTTACTGAGGGAGGAAAACCGGAGTACACGGAGAAAAAAACCCTCCTTGAAAGAGAACTTGGCAATGTGCTCAGTTGGGAAACATTGCAAAACCGCTCTTTTGTTCTATTCGATCTTCGTTGCACCTAAACTCCAAACGGTTTACTTAATATTTAATCATTTCTTTATAATTTATATAATTTATATAATTATTGTGCTCTTTAGGGAACCACAGGATTTCCGTGGATTGATGCAATAATGCGTCAACTTCGACAAGAAGGATGGATCCATAACTTTGCGCGCGAGGCAGTGGGCTGCTTCCTGACTCGTGGCTGCCTGTGGATAAGCTGGGAGGAAGGATTCAAAGCTTTTGACGAGATGCAGCTGGACGCCGAGTGGGGTATGAACGCCAACTGTTGGATGTGGCTGTCCTGCAGTAGTTATGTGCAGGGTTCTGTCCCTTGGTATTGCCCAGTTGAAGTTGCAAAGAAGTTTGATCCTGATGCGCAATATATACGGTACGAACTTGGTTGGTTATGTCAAGGGAATTCATGATGCATGAGAGCCGGTCACGCGGTCATGCAGATTTAACTAGTCTCGCAGCGATAAACCATACAACGACTTATCATGGTACTGTTTTACTTAATTTCAGGAGATACGTTCCAGAGGTACGTCGTCTTCCTAAAAAATACATCTATGAGCCTTGGAAGGCTCCACAAAGGGTACAAGAAGCAGCTCGATGCGTCGTGGGATTTGATTATCCAGAACCCATGTGTGATCATATAAAACAAAGAGAAATATGTGTCCAAAAACTAAGTGAGCATAGCAAACGACTGACCACACCAATAGTAACTGGTGAGATAGTACATCCACTGAACAACGACGTCTTAAAACATTGCGATGGGGATTATCATGCGACTGAGAGGGAGTGAGAAGGTTAAGGAGTTTTTTAACTAAACAGACATTAAAATAAATAGGGATTATCGATATACAGAAAATATATTTCGAAGCACGAAGGCGCTGGACGTTAAACTTGATGTAATGATTTAATGTAAGGTTTTGTTTCAATGTTTAAAGTGACTTTCAGTGGGATCAGTATGTTAAAAACGCATTGCTAGTCGACTTATATACAGTCACTTTCGACCATGTTTGATGTCAATACAACTATCTTAGTAAAAATCACTTGCTAAACAATGACCATAAAATATCAAAGCCACATAAAAGAACTGATCATAAATAACTAGTGTGTCATCAAAGTGTAATGCCTATAAAATATGATAGAAAATAAATATTAATTAGAGGATCGTAATTTTGACGTATTATTTATGGAGATCGACATCTTGAGAGGGTTTGAGGGAATGGGATTTGGACTGGGCCAGTGTTCAATATTGTCACAATCGTCCCATAATCTCTCCGTTTGCTTCATGACATGGAATCTGCAATCCGACCGCAMGTTTTTGGCTCGATCTGTGATTTGGAATCCTGAATCTAAAGCAACGGAAAAAAAACATTGCTATAAAACACGAGGAATCCGGAATCCAAATTAAATTTGTAATTTCAAATAAAAAATATTGTAACTGGCAACAAAAAAGCTGTAATCGATTTTTTTAAATCTGAATCCAATATAATTGCAAAATCTTTCATGCAATCAGGGATTGAATCCCCAATCCTGTAACTTGGAGTGCGGGATCCATGAACGTTCCGGATCAGTATGATTTGACGACTAGAAGACGCATTTGGCACTATGTATAAGGTAATGTGAAAAGAAAATCTAAGCGAACGGAAAATTTCCTTACCACCTCGCCACATTGGAAATGGTCCACTCTATTGAGTTTTGATATAACTGTACTTCAGTAGAGAATACAGCMACGTTGCTCCTGGGTAAAAGTATTGTTTCATCACAAGATTCYCACACCGTCTCATAATACAAAATACAACATTTTTAGTGTTTTTAATATTTTGACATATAATTATGTTCCTATGAATAATTGTCATATATTCATCATGAAAGCAGTAGTACTATAGAAGCATTCGGTACTTAATGGAGTACCAGAGGCTAACTCTGAACTACATCAATGAATATAATAATAATAATAGTACAACGAATTATGGTTATTCGATTAAAGCATTAAAATCCATTTTCACTTAGTCGAAACATAGCGAAAAGAATAGCAAAAAAAGTAGAAGTGAACTGAGAAGTGAGATTAAGAAAGCGAAAGCCAAAAAGAAAAAGAAATATGGGAAGAAAAGCAAACAATATAAAAAAATATATAGCCAGCTGTAGAAAGAAGAGAATTGCTCTATTTCATTATGACGTCACAGTTTGTTGWTTACATCATGGAAAGATGCTCAAAAACAGTGGAAATTTGGGCCCATTTTTATTAAGAAAGTAGACCTGCAATGTTCATGTGTTTTTAAGTATTGTTATGAATGAAAACCATGCTTGACAATTTATTTGATATGGAGTCACTCTGATCCATTCTGGCGACCATAATCCTTAGCGTTGAAACAACAGAATGTTTCGATGTGACGTCATAATGCAATAGTGCAAATTACCTGATGAGAATTATTGAACATAACATAACGAGAAGAAATTGGTTGATACATCGGTTAGTGAAATAATAAGAACTAAATAGAACTAAACAGTTTTTATCGTAAATAAAAAGTAATACGTGTATTTGCCAAATTCAACATTAAGTATGAAATGAAAACATAATTGCGAAAAAAAGCAATCCTTATTATTTACAGCAATAATTGCTATATACCTAAGCATGGTTTACAATTCGGGTATACACGACTAATTTCGAAATTCAACTTTTGGAATAATAATAATATACGATATGTACAATGTAATAAAGACGAATGGAAATTGTGTTTTTTTCTTTAGTTAACAGTGCATTACCAGTATGGCTTATATCTACCATACTCTACACCTACTGCTGGGCTCAGGGTTCATTTTGCTACCAACTGGACAATTATACGCCTTGGCAAATGCCTCGCTGTTCATTAGCACTCCTAGGACCCTGAAGGAAAATATTTTAACAATTAATCATTCATGAGATAACTCATTAACAAATCATTAGCTATTAGTTTAATAGGGAGAGAAGCAATGCCACTTTGTGGAAAGAAGGATTATGTCACGTTAAAATAATCGTTACAAGAGGTTTTCGAGTTTCGTTACGAACGGCACGAGTACTTCCATTTTTGCAAAAAATGGAAAAGAAAAAAAAAAAAGAAAAAGCAAAAATGGTAACTTTGGGAAATATTTCAGAGGACATACAGAGAGGCTCGAGGACTTTGTTGTACAAAATAGCGTTGTTGTATTATTAGGGTTGACCGCTGGATCACAAGATGCTCACAAACTGCATTTGCAAGTATTCACCTGTATCTTGGCATGGCGTGTGTATCAACACTTGCTCGAACGAGTGTTGCAGCAGGAGTGTAACTACTACACCACATCTGTAGAACAAATAAGCACAACGGTAGCCTTTTTAATGCATATATGCTCTACCAGCTGAGCTACAATGTCAGACTGGGAGCAGGTCGACGGGGTGAAATAGATCGTAGGTTGCGGTAATTAGAATGTAAAGATATGAATGTAAGAACTTCATGGCACTAAGAGATACATGATATAGAAATAAAGAATAACCTCCTTCTAAGAATTATAACTTTCATTTATTTCTATATTAGGTATCTCGTAATACCATGCAGTCCTCATATTCATAATCTTCCAACTACTTTTAAAAAACACTAGAAAACATGGCACTTATTTCTCATGATGACATGAACAAGGTAAAACTTGTAGATATGGCATTAATTTATCATACTTGCGCGAAGCTGAGAAAAAACATCTGCTCATTGGTTTTCTTAAGTCCAGGAACCATCTTCTCAGGGCCATGTTCGTTGATCCAATTCTTATACGCCTGTAGTATCAAAATAAAACTTTACTAGCTAAAAATTGTCAATAAAATAATTCAGAAGTGATTTCAAGCACCCTGATTGGCTGTGGCGTGTGTAGAATATTTAACATATAGTGCACACTATAACCGATTGCCCGAGACAGGTGCTTTTTTGAGGATGCTTCTCTATTGACTCCTCCACACGTATCGAATACATGTGMACGGTCGTATACGGCGATTGACATACACTACATGTAGGCACAAATATTTTGGTTTTCGGATAAAAGGATTGTCCTATTTCATTATAACGTCACAATATGCTTACATAGATAGATGCCCAAAAACTTTTCTGAGGTAAAACCTTAATATGTTGAAMGTTGGATTTAAAGTTTTCTTTTTCTTAAATAGTAATATGTAATGTTTTACTTACCCTTAATGCAATCTTAAATCCACCATTGTCAGCAATGTTTTCATCTAGTGTTTGTTTTCCATCTACGTTTTTGGTTTCTTTGCCGATTTTTAACTCAAATTTGTTGTACTGGTCCACAATGCATTGCGCCCTTGCTTTAAACTGATCCATTGAGTTGTTCGTCCAGCCTAAGTCAGTCGTTATTTCTCCATATTTGTTAAAACGGCGACCTGACAATGGCATATTTTCAKGATATGAGAATAAGAAGTGCCAGGATTGCGCATTCGATTGTGGCGGAAAAAAATTGGAAATGAGGCCCCATCGTATTTAAATTCTGACACTAGGCTACTCAARGCGATTCAAAATTCAAAGAATATTTCGTCAAAATAWTTCGACTGATTTCAAACGAAAGGCAATTGAAAGAGGCACGGATAGATGGAGGTTACGGTATCGAGAACAAAGTCGATAAATTTAGGGGGAAATGTCTGATAGAATTGATCGCAACAATTTCATTTGATCCAAATTGCTTTTGAATGATTTTCTAAATACATACCAGCACTATCAAAGCCATGCGTCAATTCATGCGCTAAAACCATTCCAATGGCTCCGTAATTCACAACCCTAAACAGACAACAGCAATTTTAAAATAAATTAAATGACATAAGGAGAGTCAATGAGACGCCATTTAACSATTTAATTCTAAAAATGAGGGAAATCTAGAACTGAATTCCCTTGAGATTCATTAATAGGTGATTAGATCCGCAGCATCTCTCTAATCTTACCTAGGTGCATCTTTGCCATAGAAAAATGGTGGCTGTAAAATCCCAGCCATGATGTCTACAAAAAGAAAGAAAAAACATGATTTTACAAGGACCATTCTTTGTGCCATATTTAGTTAGGAATTTTAAGAGTTTTGTAAGATGATTTTCATGGTGATGAAGGTGGTAGGTATCGAAATATCAAGGCAAAGACTGCAATACCTTGATATGATATTACTACTGTTGATAATGATGCATTCTTATGATGCATGCTTATGATGATGGTGATGACTACAATGATGATGATGATGATGCATTCTTATGATGCATGCTTATGATGATGATGATGATGATGACGACAATGATGATGACAGAGATTAAGAAAAGAACCATGGTTTTTGGATGACTACAGCAAGAAAGAAGGAAGGTCAATGACGTACTGATTTCATTTCTTTCCCTAAGATAGAAAGCATTTACCATCTGAGGACCACTGTACCAACTGGAACACAAAACAAATCGTCAGTATAACAATAATTAAACGCAAAACTAATATGTATTTCTTAAAACTCTTTTATTTGATAAAGCAACTTTCTTTCCAGCTCCACTTCCAGATCCCCCGCTCTTATCGACCCGCCAGGCGTGATAATGTAAAACTTATCATACTTACGAGTCTCTGTCAATAGGATTACGGAGCTTAGAGAGCATCTTTTTGGTATACCATCTCGAGACGTTAACTTCGTTCAGAAGATAATACCTGTCGCTCACTTCAAGCTATGAAAGAAATTCAGAATGTGAGTCACTGATATGTCACGGTTGCCGACTAAGGCACTGAGGACGAAGCACTAAAACGAGGTCTCAAAGACCAGCCTCCGTATAGCAAACTACGATGATGTCTTGTAAGAATACTTTGTTATAAATAACAAACCAAAACGTCTTTCAGGCGTTCGGACACTGCCTACATGCGACATTTGTAGTGTATTTAAGATGTAAAAACTTTGAGGACTCGTTTCAATAATTCGTTACTAGTCCCCCGAAGGCGGTCGTGAACTACCGCCATTCATCGAAAGTCGAATATAATAAAGTTTTTGTGTGGCAACATTTTGTGGGCTAATGGTGTACAGATAAGCTTACAAAAACTCTTTAGAAAAAGCAATTTTTATGGCTCCTGCGTTTCACTCTGTCTTTGACAGNAACTAAATAACACTTCTTTTTAAAAACACGATAAAAAAATATGATGTGATTGTAGTTCGATATCTTTCGTACCGGACTGCGAGTGAACTGGACTGACTGTCAGCGAATTAAAGCGGGGAAAACAGTTGTATGTACTCGACTTAAAGATTTTACCCCAGTTTGTGTTTTCTTGTAACTTAGTATTGAAATAAGCTTTAAAAATATAACAATTATTATAGTGATGTCATTTTTGATTGATCGAAACTTCGCACCAAAGACCAAAATCACAACGAAATCAAACTTTGAGGTCKCGAACAAGACATTTTTCTGTAGGACTTGCAAATGAAGATTTATTTGCAAAGCGATCAGTTCAACAAGCCAACGTCACTGAAACGCACCTTTCTTCCAATGCAACACTTGAGATAAGTCAGCTAGAAAAGTTGATCGTACGTACTGTTGATTTACGATCATGCCCTACACTTACGTCTGTCAACAACACCGTAATTAAATCATCCTTTTTGTCGAGCTTCCGCTATCAATTCTCAGCCTAACACCACACACACCATAYTGACAAACACTGTTATTGCGTAACAACATGAAAATACTGAAATGCTACCCTAAAAATCACTTTTCATTTGCATTTGTAGCTTACAAATTACCAATAAAAAAATCCTATTCAAAAGATTCACTGATCAAATGTTATCTTTGTAAATATTATCGTTTGGGATCCCAAGACGTTCGAAGAATTTCGACTACGAAGATATCTTGAAGTTAAGAGCTGTTAATTTTAGAAATAAKTTCTGTATTGCTGATAACCCTCTAGAACAATGCCCTTCACAATAGTTTGGCGAGGGAATTTGGCKTAGAAGTAAKTGAGCGCGTTTCAATTAGTTTTTCATACATTTGATTGGGTAAGACTAGTTGTGCGGTCGTTGAWTTAAAATCTGTTATAGTAACAAGAAATAGGAGTAAMTTAAAGACCTAATCCTGCATTAARTTTGCAACATTATGCCTGTAGAGAAATGGCATSGTCATGTTACATAAATTTACAGTTTACTGTTGCGAAATGCAGTAACAGTGACTCACAAAATAAACAAACATCACTGTACAAACAAATACCTTGAGAAGATATCTAGATGAATTCGTAGGGTCTTCAACGACTTCGAGTCCAAAAAGTGGCGACTTTTGGACAGAGAAAACCTTCTGGATCTTCAGCAGCGCTTCTTTCCATTCCCATTTCGTTTCATTCCATGTTTCGTTATCTAATGCCCAAGAGCCCAATTCGCGAAGCAATAATATAATCTGGTCAGTAGCAGTTCGATCAGCTTCCCTCTCATCCATACATGCTTTGTAATAGTCTCTTGCCTTCTTCAAGGGACCAGGTTTTAAATTAGTAGCTTCATCTAGCAGACCTCGCAGTTGTACACTAGTTAGTTTGGTTGCCTTTAGATAAGTAGCGTGTTGGTTCTCGGAGGGGGGAATTGGGTTGTCTTTTATCCATCCACCGCATGCGTATCTGTAGTAATCGTCACAAGGATCCACCGATCGGTTAATGTTCTTAGTAAACTCGGCCGCGATTTCAAGGCAATCAGCAGAGAAACACACATTCTGACTGGAAGTGGAGCTGCTATTMTGTTTGTTGTGGGCGTCCAATTTTTGAGTCTTCGTAACTTGCTCCACGTACAATACAGATAATATCACACATGCTGCTATTAAGAGGACACACGCAAGCGTAACGCATATCAGAAGTCGCTTGCTACTCTTGCTGAAAACGATAGATTGGCCGGTGGTCGAGTTGACGCCAAGACTCTGTGTACTAGTGGAATTGTGGAGCTCCATTTTGGTGCGTCCGGACTTCTCACTGTGCACAACGATTGTCTGACACTTGTCTTTATTCAATTCACTTAAGTCAACACTTTCAGCATTACGCGTTGGTTTGTTTGGATAGTCAACCAAACAATTCCCAATGCCATTCACAACAATCTTCGTTTCAACTGGTGTCCCAGAAGGCCCCTCTTTCTTCTCTTCATTATCCTTCTCATCGCTCGACACCGGCCCTCCTGCCTTTCCGTGACAGTTCCGTGCTTGACTTTGAAACGCAATCTTTAAATAGTTACTGTTAACCTTGCTTATAATTGTGATGTTTCGGTTAATTTGTCAAGCATCAGGTGAGAGATAGAAACCTCACCCTGTCAGCTCCACAGAAACCTAATTATAGTTGCCAAGCTCCCCACTAAGGAATGCCAACCAATTGAAGCTCATTTTAGGCTGAAAGCACAAAGAGAAGTACAATAATTGTTATAAAAGCGTCTTTTTGGGGATTAAATAATTTTTGTAACCAAACAATTATTAGTGAGGTCAATTCTTTTTCAAGTACGTCCTTATAGAGAACGGCATGTACTAATTCTTTCACGTTACAACGTTAATTCGACTAATAGAATAAAAATTGAAATTTTCATTAGAATATCGCACTAAATAGTCTCGACAAATATTTGGATATAAAACTCTATTAACCCTACAGCTGTAATAGTTGACTGGGCCAATAACAATTGCGAAAGCTGTCACAAGAAATTCGACAATACTGTAATACTATAATATTCAGAATATCTCAGAACTATCTTGCATATCACAACTTATAGACTAAGTTTACRACTACGTTTAGCTATTTTACATTGGAAGAATTGAGAGCTGAATCATTGTTTGTCTAATTCGACCACAAAAGCGAACAAACTTAACGTGAAATTCAATAATTGCCAATAATTGTTCAGAGGATGATCTGGATTATTCAACTTTGTTGCCCCCAAAATAGTCAAAATTTGGGATGGAATTYCAAGGATCCTTGTGAGAGAGATTGCTTAACTGAGCGATCGTTGTGTCATTAATCAGGAAGTAACGTTTACGATGCTATTGGTTTAGACTTGAATTTGACGCTGTGGATCCAGGCTGAGCTTAAGGCCAAACGCTTTCAACATTGTTTCAATATCGATTTAGTCGAGCGACGTTGGAAGAGGGGTGTGCAAACAATTTCAACTTTTTCYCTACATTTGTTAAATTGAACGTGTAGCCTGCGCGGGTTTTTTTTTTTTTTAACGGTAACTAGACTGAGCTAAGCTGCGCTGGCGCTTGTGCTACATTGTTGAACTGACCGCGCAGACGGTTTAAAATTATCATTCAACATTGAGAACAAAAGAAATRTATAACCGATATTAAAACAAAGTTTTTAAAAACGCTGATTCAACTGCTTCAACTTTGATATGGCAAATTTCCGACATTATCGAAACATATATGACAGCCTCAAGCGAACGCGTTCAAAATTGCAGTTCTACAACTTTAACTTTTTTAACGATTTTGAGTTGGTTGTCGTTGGGCTTCGGTAGCTMGACAGCGTCCCTAAGGGGATGGGGGAGGGCTGGCCTGTCCCATTCGTTGTTAACGCAGGCTAGATACTGTCGTATGTCGAAAGGGGGAAAAATACAATATTTATATGTGTAACAATGTACTAGTTGAACATTCAACATGATCGCAAAACCCCATCTAAACTTGTTCATGGACCTCCCCCCTCCCCCCCTCAAAAAAACCCCCTCGATTTTGCTGTGCGATTTGAAGCGTTTTTTAAAGTCGATTTTACCCGAAAAGAAACCACAGAATCCAGCTGCATGGGTGGTCATTCACATCCTAATAAGGACATTTACACTTGATATTTTCATTCCTAAGAGACGACGARTATCYCCGCCATTATTCGTAAGGGAGTATCCCCCTCCTGTCCTGCCTTGCTCTAGTTTTATAGCTCTGAACTAATAGGCCGTAAGATGCTCAAGTACGCGTCATSCTATGACTTCTCGTAGGAGTTTGAGCCTAGTTTCGAAAGCTTGAGACGAGTCGTGGATCGCACCTCCGTCGAGTCGTAGCATAGCCATTCGCACCGTACAATTCTGCATGTCTTGTACGTAATCTGACACTTATCAGTTGTAAAAACAATTCTTCATTGATTGTCCTATAAATCTGGAAATTATAACCAAGCTTGCAAAGCCAATTATGGACAGGTTTAGCCAGTATGCAATGTTCCGTGATGCAAGTAGTTTCTTTGGGAAACAACCCAAGGACATAATCCAGTTTCAAAAAATAGTCATTGTAATCAACAAAGACAAGAGKCCAAAATATTAGCAGATAAGGATCTATAGATGATTTCTACACAAAGGAGAACACAATACTCCATTGAACTATCTTATCGGTCGCGTTTAGACAATATTCTCAAGTGGAGATTTAATAACCGCAGACTTTGATAATATGCACACCAAAACCAGACAATCGTATTAAGGCAATCAAGGAAAGTTTCCAAGGCTTATCAGCAAAGGAAAGATAAACACAAGCAAGAGAATATGAGAAAACTTTGGTGTTGAAATCACCCGGGGTTTTCCCTCGTATTTGGAATGGGGTTGCAGAGCATGGGAAGTTTTGAAAAATACCCCTAAAGAATACCAGGCTCTTACAAGAAACAGTTGTGTAAAAAGATAAATTAAACACCGTAAAAAAGTAGGTGAAGTAACTTACTGACGTTTCGGACGTTAATTCTTCGCCTTTTACTCCGACGAAGGATTAACGTCCGAAACGTCAGTAAGTTACTTCACCTACTTTTTTACGGTGTTTAATTTATCTTTTCACACAACTGTTTCTTTAGAAACACCGACGCAGCTCACACTAGTTTACCGCTAGTTCCCAMCATTCTTACAAGAAAGGGCGTGACAACACATTATTTCAACCYTAAAAGATATCTTAACATCGAATACTTTAAACCTAAGTTTTCATCAATTCTTTGATCTATCAATGTCATAAACAGGAACAAATGAAATATGTAAAACCTAAAAGATACCAGAACCCTGGTTTTTACTCCTAAAAGATAGGCGACGATCATCCCCACCCCTCCATATATGGGAGTCGCTCCCGGGGAACTCAAATGGACAGGCTTTCTGCTTTTGCAGAGTGACCGCTGGACAAGCTCACTCTGCTGCCGGCTAACTAGTAAGTATTTGTCAAAAACTTCCCTTTGCTCTTTTATTAAAAGATAGCCCTTTCAGCAAGAAGATGTAGGACAATTTTATCTTATCTCGCCATTGAAATATACGATCACTTAATATATATATTTGTAAATTGAGACGAGATCAAAATAGCTTCGCGGCATTTCCTCGAACTTGACCCGTATATATATATGTCTTCGTTCTTGATTCTAAGATACGAAACTCTAGAATTCTTATCCTGACCTCAAAATACTTGACACCACCGCAAACAAGCAGAAGAAAATAGAATTAGGACTTGTCTTTGGCCGAATGTTATGACTATGTGATTTTGACGTTTTTCTGTTGTTGGCAAACAAGACAAAATAACTATTAACCTGTGCATGAACAAAGAGWAGACGCTCCCTTTCGAAACGCTTTGATAAACACTCAATGGTACTGACAATTGTTACTATTTTGTCTAGCTATTTTGCATTTCTTAAGGCTTCTTGATCCATAGATAATTCTTTCAAAAAGAAAAAAAGTCGGCATTAATAGTCAACTTTAGATATTTTGGTTCGATGACTATTTACAAAAGAACGCACACGAGCCTCCGGGAAAACAATGGATAATCTTGATTTATTCTTTTATTTYCCCGGAGCCTCGTATGTAATTCTTTTGTGTGCCACTGAAACAAAATATCTAAAGTCGGCTAATTCATCTCCATCGGAACTTTTACACACTTCCCAGCATTCATGCTCAGCTGGGCACCAGTCCCCTCAGTGTGGCCAAGATTTTACCACAGGAATTCTAATATGTATGCGCCGTAAAGTCTATAAAGTGTGAAAAAATGGTAAATGTCGTAAAACTCCGGTTGCCAGATATTTATGACTGATTACTTTATCGAYCGTTTAACTGTCATCAATCTTTCGCAAGGCATCATGGATACTCCCTAAWACGCAATCTGCAGTGACGCTGTTTTGAACRAMAAARCATGAAAATAGTCCTTCGTTTTCTTTCAATGGATATGTTTTGAATRTTCAAGATTGGTTTTGTGTCACCTTTTAAACATTTTTTATGTTTTCAAGTATTTGTAATAATTTTGAGTTCCAGTTGCTGACATTTTGTATACATTATCGTGATGTAATGTTTCGGGCCAATTGTGATAGATGGCATCTTTGATCACCTGTACTACACATTGAATACTGCAATAACAACATTGCAATTCTCACTGCGTACATTTTAAACTTAGTTGCATCCTAATGGAGTGTCAGARCACTTGCCTCTAATCTTKCTGTATCTTTTTGACGCGATAAAACTACTTTGGTATAATTTATTAAAATGCAATAACATAAAGTGTTTATCTACGCACACACAGCGAGCTGATCGCCTTAGGGTGACAGATGACTCATTGCAATACGGATAAATGTTGATTTTGGAACGTTTTCTTGAGCATGAAAATGCTCTCAGCTGTCGCTATRTGATCAGTTGCTTTTCTTTCTTTTTAAAGAAAAAATCTTCTTTGTTATTTTTTTCATCAATTCATCAATTGTTCATTCATTCATTTATTTGATCCGTTATTCATTCATTCAATCCTTCATTTATTATTTAATCAGTTAYCCATGCATATCCTCAATCATTCAATTTTTTATTCTTTCTGCCCGATTGGATTTATTCACTCCATTTATCAATTTTCTCTTCCTTCCTTACAATTTATCAATCTTTTTGTTTGTTGTTCTACTCTTCCTTCCTTCAATGAAATCGTTCTATCGCGACCTTGATTTTTTGAAAAAAATAGTTTTCCGGATTTTAAGGTTCCAGTTTCATGAAAAAAAAAACATATTAAATAACAGCTATATTTCTAAATAAAAAAATGTATATACTATTTTGTAATCACACGAAATTTTGAATACAAATAGCCATCATAATAAAGATTTATCGATTAACTGAATGAAATTTCACACAATTTCTTCAGCGCTGAAAAAAGAGTGAAACAAGAATTTTTGATGCACTTATTTCAATTCTTCCGTGTTTTTTTTTTCGTCACATTTTATGCCATTTTTCTGTCCACTGCAAAAAAACATAAGCTCAGGTGAATTGAGCTGACACATCAACACGAATCAGGGAGGTAAATCTAATAACGGAAAATACACTAGACCTTTTAATGGATCGTTGATATCCAAGATATCAGTAATCGACCCGGTTTCAAGTATTCTTAAGACAAGTGTGAACCAGGGTTTTTTAATGCTCTTATTTCTCAACAAAATGCGATAAGTG